TTTTGATAAGCTTTCCAACATTTGAGACGATAGGTTTTTGTATGATCCTCACTATCCCATATACCTTCTACATTAAATCCTATATTTTCTTTTATATGATCTTTATTACATATGGGACATATCTCTGAACAGGTAAAGTAATCGCCAGATTCATTACTATATTTCAAAGATAAAACGGGAAACCGTTTCAATGCCATTTTGATAACATGTTTTTGTTTCTCTTTCAGGTCATCAGGTAAGACAGAAATTGAAGGTCGGGATTTGTTAGATATATTTACATTGACTTTTGTATCACTTACTATTGCAGAGCAGGCCCGTAGGGGCGAGTTACACTCATGGTTCTTCGAACCTACACTTATCTTAGCTTCAGTAGATGCACTTACCTTGATTTCTGGTAATTTTGATTGTGCCAACTCTGTTGATGAATCGTTTGAGCTAGATAGATCTGACATATGCGCGTTCTTTTTCGGAACGCCGATCACTTCTTGGCAATTAATCGTATCATTTATGCTAGTGGTCTTTTCACGGAAACGATTTATAATATTTTGGATTTGAATATCCGTTAGGCTTGAAATAGCATTTGCACTGTAAGTTATTTGCCTAATCATATCTATTCCTATCCCTTCGAACAATGTATAAACTTTTTTAGCTTTGAAAGTTCTCTTACGCAAATTTACATCAGAGATACCGGGAAGAAGCAATCTGATTTCATTATATACCAGTGTTCTAGCTGATTGGTCATCGATGTTATTCGTGGATTTAATATATATGACTCGATTTTCATATGCTTTAGTGTAACAATACCAGCATAAATTTTCTTTTTGTCTAGTTTTCATTGCCGTATTAAGCAAGTCTACTATAATCTCAGTGGTAATTTCATCGGATCCTATTAATATTGTTTCTAGAGGGAGATTATGAATTTGTATATCTACGTCTCGTATAGCGATATATTCCTTACTGTAACTAGATAACTCACCCATTAGACCCTATTCTGCCTTTTGATTATATGGAATTTTTATTTTAGAAGTAATGTTACTTTCTACTTGATTGATAGGGCTTGGTTCTAATTGGGTAGTTTCGATGGTGGTACGTATCTCAGGAGGAATAACACTTTGTGCCTGCGAATTGATATTTTGCTTTATAGGAAGTTGTTTCAGTAAGTCAGAGATATTACCAGAGGCAGTCGCGGAGATGGGTTGTGACATTGTGGACGATTTCAAATTTTGCATCGTAGGATGGTTCCGATAAAGTATTGTCCAAAGATAAGTTTTGGTCCCTATATTTCTTTTCCCTGATTCTCTCCATTATCTCTTTACCAACCTGTTCCTTATACCGCAAATTCAGAAATTCATTTTCTTCCTTCTCTTCCAATGATATGACTTCTGTAGGAATAGGAGATGTGGGGATTACTGAATCCTCGTATATATCAGAATTTATTTCGGGAGTATCATCAGAAATGCATACTTGTGTATTTACCGGATTCTGCAAAATATTAGCGTTCTTGTCTTGCAAGTTCTCTTCCTTGATTAGTGAAACGTCATATTCCAGTTTTGTGAATCTGGTATCATGTTCTTCCAAAGTTTGTTTTAATTTCATATTTTCAGTTTTGATACTGGTATTCTCAATTTCAGCTTCAGCAAATTTTTTTCAAAGTTCAGGAATCTCGGCATTCTCCCGTCTAAGTTTATCATTCTCAACTACAAGCTTGGAGATCTGTTCTTCAAATGATTCGATTTTAGATTGCGTATTTGCCATTTTTATATAATAAACAAATATGTTTAATTATATTAGTGAATAAAAAAAATCATGAGTGCGTTCTTTTTCGGAACGCCGATCACTTTTGCCAAGAAAATTCTCGATCATTGTTATCAGCCGATGGTATAAATCACTCACAAAATATGAAGATTATACACAACTCATCTAATAATCCAATTTGTACTAAAAATGAATCATACATTCTTATATTATAGAGAACCAAATCTAATAGGTCTAAAACTACTAAATATATATTTTCTACCAGCGACAAATATGTCTGGTTTTGATATCGCTACTATTATTGATAAAAAAGATAAAACGCTTCCTAAACCATATATCAATCGTCCTGGTTTTGATATGAAGTATGCTGTATCATATATATTACATTATGGCGGAACTTATGCTAATGAACTCAA